GCCCAAGCATGCTTACTGGACTCTGACCAGAATTAGAGTTAATATGTGTAACCCTACAGAGGGCTCCCTCAGAGTGGAAAAATAACTTGTGCTATGTATGTACAGTGGAATTCAATTTGGCCATTAGAGTGAGCAAACTGCATCTCATAGTTTGTCAAAATATGTAGTACTAAGTCTAAAAAGAGTTAAGAACGCTCTTTAGAAAATTATCCGTCGTATAACATTGGGGGAATCACACATCAGTACTGTAGTGTGTGTGTGATTTTGTGTGTGTGTGTGTGTGTGTGTGTGTGTGTGTGTGTGTGTGTGTGCTATAACTAAGTGTAGAAGGGAGAGGTGGAGCTACCCTTTGGCACAATGAGTAGAAACAGGGTCTTGGAGGGCATCAAGGGAGCTTTATGTGTGTTACATTTCCATACATTTGAAATACATTACAGAGTACTCAGGGGAACTGGAGGATGTGGCTCGGCTGGAATAGTGTTTGCCTACCCTGAATAAACCACATGTGGTGGCGCATGCCTATAATCCTAGCGTCCTGGAGTTGGGGCAAGGAAGTCTGGAAGTGCAAGCCTGGGGCTGAAGAGGGGGCTCAGTGGGTAAGAAGAGCACTGGCTGCTCTTCCAGAGGATCTGGGTTCAGTTTCCAGCACCCACACAGCGGCTTACAACTACCCATAATCCCAGCCTTCTTTTGGCCTTCTTGGGCACTTCATGAATGTGGTACATATACACATTCAGACACAAAATTTAAATAAGTAATCTTAAAAATAAATGAGAAGTTCAAGGTCATCCTCTTCTATATGGCAAGTTTGAGGCCAGCCTCAGATACCTGAGGTCCTCACTCCAAAAAAAAAAAAAAAAAAAAAAAAAAAAAAAAAAATTATATCTACAAATTTCTAAGACAAACCAACCAACCTCACAAAATATGTATGTGAAAAGCACACAAACAACCCATGAAAAGGAAATACACACACAGGTAAGATTTAAATCTAAGAAATTTAAATTAAGTGGACTACCAACCACTTCTAGTGAGCTAATAAAGAAGTGTGGTTCTCACATGGTCTACAAATCAGTACGGTGCTTTAAAAGAGCCATATAGCGTATGAAATCCCGAAACTTAGGAGAGCCCTGTGTGGCTGGCCAGAGCAGGACATCAAGCAGGGCGCAGGTGGGGGCGGAGTCTTTTTCTTTTCTGTCTTCAAGTCCTCACTCACTGTAGAATCACAGGTCTCAAATCTCAGAAGCAAACTTCTCTTTGAAAGAGTTTCAGACTTCAAAACAAAAGAGCTTCGTGAAAGCGGCGGAGAATGGAGTCTGGGCCTTAATGTTTCCCAAATAACCAGCTCCTAATCCGTAAATGCCCCTCAAATAAAACTTCTAATTCTCAAATAGCTTCCAAATCCTTAAACTTTCCTCAAAACAGTCAAGACGATTCACAGCCCTACAAATCAAATCCAGACTTTTGTTGAGCTCCACCTCCAGTTCACCCATTAGCATGTGGGGCATGCGCATAAATGTGCGCACACACACACACACACACACACACACACACACACGACTTCACTTGTGCTTTTTGTTTGAAAGGGCTTGTCAGTCAGGACAGAATTCCTCTTCTGTGAACAAGCGCCCCTCGTCTACACCAGGGACAAACCCTAAGCCCCTAGCGGCTGTCATCAACAGTTGGCTTTCCCCATTTGTTTTCAAAGAGAATGGTGGGGGGCATCCGCAGGAAAGGAGAGGTTGGAGCAGCAGGAGGCATTCTTACTTTGTTTTTCTGTTTTCACAAGGGAGCCCTAAACATATTGAATTTCTGGCTCGCCTCAGTTCCTCCAGCTGCTTCTTCGGGACCCCAGTCTTCTGTGGGGTTCTTTATCTCCTACCCTTCCAAGGCGGCTAAAAAGAGGAACAGCAAAGAGAAAGTTGCACGTCCTTTCTAAGTCTAAATATTTGAGTTCCTGAGTCAACAGAGGCGGGTGTGTGTGTGACAGTTCTCACCAATTGATGCAAAATGGTGCTTTCAAAGGGAACTAAAAGAGAGGCCAGCAGATGGCAGGTTCAAAGACGTCCAAAAGAGAACGGCCAGGATCTATATACACTGACTCCGAGGGAAGATGGAGGATGCCAGAGGGTAACAAGGGTTTGGCTGGAACTAAGGTGGGCTGAAGTTCCGTCACTCGCTCAAAGCAGGTGCTGTAGGAGGGTGAACCACTTCAGCTAAGCCTTAGCTGATCAGGTGGTGGCACGAAAGGACTAGTAAGAACGACTTGTGTCCCCAAGATGCACTGTGTGACCAGTGCTGTTCATAGCGCTTACCTGGACTAAATCGGGTCACCTTCCCCAAAGCCAGAAACCTATATGAAGACAGCTCAGCACTACCATTTTACAGCCCAAATCTGGAGATTGCTCAAGGCCACACAGCTAGGACGCTGCAGAGAGAGGCTGCCTCCAGGTGTCCCAGCAGACTAGAAACCTCACTCCAAACACTTGGTAAGAAACCAGATGGGAAGAGGGGAGGAGAGAGTTAGGTTGGATGATGCGCTGAGTGAATTGCCTGCAGGTGTCTTGAGGGAAGGACCCTCAGCTGCTTCCAGTTGCAGGCTCCGCCCCACAGGGCCTCTAGTTTCTGTTGACAGAAACTCAGGACAGGTTGGAGCTGGATCCTACCGCACTGGCCCTAGGGGGCCCACTGTTAAATATTCGGGAAAAAATTTTTTTTAACATCGACCTTTTTTTTTTTTCCAGACTCAAATAGTGTTTATTAATATACCAGCATACACCTGGGCATTCACCTGGACAACATGGCCAAGATCCGATAGGAGCATGCAGTTTAAGCACAGCTAGGGGCATTTGAGGCACGGTTAGGTCATCTCAAACATTATTGCTTAAGCAAGCAGCAGTGACATTAGAATACTTTTAACTGGCTGAGGTTTTATCTCTGACAAACTTGGGTGAGATTCAAGGAGGTTGCAGGAACTGTCCTAGAGACATTGTGGAGCTGACTCGGGCTTGTTTGTGCTCTCTCCCACATCCCTGAATGTAATTTGTTGATAAATGGTCCTTTGTTGGAAGAGACATCTGTTTGCTTCTTTCAGAGAACTGAAACCTAAATTCAGTTATAAAGATGGGAAAGTTTAGACCAACTGAGGCACCCAGAAAGGACAGTGTCCAACCTGCTGAGCTGCCTGCAGGCTGTGCAGTGTGCTCCAGGTTCCCAGCATTCTGAGCTGTCACCCATGCTGGGGTGGGCTTGGGTGATGCAGCCGTCTTTGAGTCATTTCTGCTCCTGTAAGTGACCCCTTACCCATATTCCTGTAATAACCCCAATAAAACTCACTGGTTCACAGAGTTGGACTTCTGTGGTATCTGTACTTTGGTCTGTCATGGACTCCATATCTGGGCTGAGTAGATGTGTGTGTGGTGTCTCCCCATGAAAGTTTTGTCACATAACACTCTCAGCATCACACATACACACAAATAAAAGTATAAAAACATAGCCAAGCAGATTTGGTCTCTTGGTGATCTTTAGGGATTCCAGAATTTCGGCACAACAACAGGTATATGACAGGTCTATGAGAGACCTGTCATATACCTGTCATGGACCATCCCCTGGTTAAATGGGGCCTTCTCTTAGAGCTTCAGTACGTTCCAGGCATTCATGAAGGCCTTCCTATTCTTTGATATCCTGGGCCAGGGTAGGGGCAAGCTGCATCATATTCTTTTTTTGATCTTCTTGTGTTTCGAACCAGTCTTGAATTAGACCTGCTTTGGGGACTGGGACTGTGGAGGAAATAATGCAATTTATCAGAGGCATGGCAAGTAGGCAAACTCTGAAGACAAGAGTCTGGTACAGCTAACCCTTGGGTCCATTCCATGGGGCCTACTCCACATGATACCACCTGTCATCATCTTTGGTCACCACACTCATGATGATGCAAGCCAGAGACATTACAGCATCACATAGTGCACATGGTGGCCCTAGACGTCTGACTCCCTTCTCTGCCGTCTTGACCACGCTCCACTTTCGAACACCCGCTCCCTGCTGCTCCTCCCAGATGAATCTCGACTGGGCCACCTTACTTCAGCTTAACATCAACCTTTTATTTTGGAACAGTTTTAAATTCATAGAAAAATTGAAAAGATGGTAAATCAATTTCTATTTATTATTATTAGTTTCCTATTATTAACACTTCACATGAATGTGGTATATGTTACATTTAATAAACCCATATCCATACATTCTTCTTTTGAAAAAGAACCTTTTTGGGTTAGGATGCAAAGTAATGAGTTTCATCACGGCATCTGCATATCTGTATCATCATAAATTTTAAACATTGTTCTTTTTCAGTCTCTCCCCCAACTACTGTCTCTGGTTCTCCCTCCCACACAGCTTTTTGTTGGTGTTATTTGGTGTTTTTTGTTTGTTTGTTTATTTTTGTTTTTTTTCTGTTGTTGTTTTGTTTTGAGACATCGTCTTGCTATGTAGCCCTGATGGTTCTGGAACTCTCTATGTAGATCAGGCTGGCCTTGAACTCATAGAGATCCACGTCTCTGCCTCCCAAGTGCTGAGATTAAAGGCGTGTGTCACGGCCACCCATTCCCTTAGTTTTTACCTGGTTCTCCTTTCTATTCCAGAATTGCATCTAGGCTACCTTATTGTATGTTATTATTTTTCTTAGACTGCCACAGTTTCTCAGCCTTTACTTGTTTGAGACAGCCTTGACAATTTTTTATTTCACATCTATGGGTGTTTTGCTTGCACATATGTGTGGTGCATTGCCTGTGGAGGCCAGAAGAGGGGGTCAGATCCCCTGGAACTGGAGTTACAGAAAGTTGTGAGTCACTATGTAGGTGCTGAGAATGGAACTCAGGTCCTCTGGAAGAGCAGTCAGTGTACTCAACCAGGGAACCATCTCTCCAGCCTCCATCTTGATAATTTCGATGAGTATTGGTCAATGTTTTACACAAAGTTCCTTAACTGTGATTTTTTGTTTCTTTTTATAGGTTGGCTTGAGGAGTATATGTTTGGGGGAAGAAGATCCATCCATGAACTGGCATTGTCATCATGGCCTGTCAAAGCTACAGGTGCCAATATGACTCATGACTGTTGAGGTAAACCTTAAGCATCCACTGAGGGAATCAGCTTTCCTCACTGTAAAGTTCTCATCTTTCCCACACCGTACTGTTTGGAAGAAAGCCATTAGATACAGGCCACACTTACAGAAAATAATCAAGTGGCTTGGGTTCCACATGGTGGTGGTGGGGGTTACACCACAGTAGGCAGCAGACTTTATGAACCAGGGATTTAGGGGGAGAGCTAGTTTCCCAGCCCACCACTTGTACAGCTTGGGATCACTCCTAAGAGATGATTGGTGAGACAGGCAGAAGAAGGGCAATGAGGTCAAGGGCCTCATAGGGCAAAAGTGAAGGTTCAAGGCTTGGCACAGACATACAGCCCAGGGAACCCAACTGAGACCATTCCCAAAGAATTTTACTGGCAGGAACCTTGATTGATCTATTTCCCTCCCCTGTTTCCATCTATTGAGTGACAGCTACCATTTATTGAGTGACAGCTACCATCTTTTGAGTGACAGCTACCATCTATTGAGTGATGATAGCTATCATCTGTTGAGTGACAGCTATCATCTATTGAGTGACAGCTACCATCTATTGAGTGACAGCTACCATCTATTGAGTGACAGCTACCATCTATTGAGTG